CTAATTAAGAGAAAGTTAACTTTAAGTTAAAAGCAGTCCAAATATTTATAGATACATTTTGCCAAAACGACAACTAATTTGAATGGAGAGAGTAATTAGTGATCTTTGTTGTGAGTTGTGACTTGGGAAAAAAAGACGAATTATATCAGAATTTTCAAATAACTAGACAACTAGAGTTTGACCCGCGCCTTGCACGGGGTGATATTTTCTCAATTTGATTTTATTAAAAGATGTCTATTTACATACAATTTTAGGAACATAGAGTGTTAGACAATTAAAAAAATGTCAATTTACATTAGACGAAATTTTGAGTGATGCATATTTTTTTAGCCTGGTTTGATTTTTGTCATCGTTTACAGTGTGGTAATCTAACATTTGCTTTAACAACAGTTTCTCCCTTTCCGAACCCACATATATATTAAATTTTAATACATTTAAAATAATTTTATATTTTGATAAATATAAAATGGCATATATATTTTATGTTTTTATCAATTTTAAATAACTAAAATAATTTAACTTATATGATAAGTTATTAGAATTTATTACGTTTAAAATTTTGATCAAACCAAAATATTAAAAATACGATTTAATTATTTAATTCAATTAAAGAATCAAATTAAATCGAATAAAAGAAATTTTAAAGATTTCCAAACATGGTAAATTTTTCTTTCCTATTTGTGATTATGGTTGATCATTATTTGGATCCTATTTTATAATAGGTTTTTGAACTATTATCCCAAAATATAATCATGTGGGACATTTAACATTTTTAGAGATTTGCTTCATTTTTAAAAATTCAAACCATAGCATATGTAGAAAAAAACTAATTTTCTTTTTTTAAATATTTTGATGTGATGATATAATTTATTCTTGAAAGTAAAGCTAAACAAAAATGATAGATGAATAAATTAATTTTTAAACAATTAATATAATACAATTGAATAAAACTTTCCATATTTTACTGATTGATTGACTAATAAATAAATTTTCGTCATTACCAAATAAGGAAACTGAAAGAAAATAATTTTCATTAATAATTATTTTTCTGACTAAATTAATCATATATATTTCATTCTCTAACCAAATATGAATGGCATAACATGTAATTAGTCTAGTAATGTTTGTCTTAATTAAAACTAACCTTGAAAGTGAACCTGGTGTTGACACATCAGCATGGCATTTCTGTTAATAACACATGAGACAAAGGTTTATTTTATAGTGTTTTCTCTTTTAATATATTAGAAATTAAGGTATTAGTAATTGTCCATGGCTATCGCCACGTCCTCGTCGGGTAGGTTTGGCTATTATCATGTGAACACATATGTAGTTAACGCCTTAACGGTAAGCAATAAGTCCAAGTGTTGGACCAGCTTACGTGTCGTAGTCCAACTAATTAAGATTCCACTATGATAATTAAACCGCCCGAAAATACATCCATCCAACATAGCGAAAAGGACACGTGAATACAACTTTGTAATTGTATTATAATTAAGATTAGACATAAAACATACAGTTCATTCCACTAAGGTTTTCCTACATTCAGAGATAGAAATCCAGATTCATATAATCATTTTTAAGATGGTAATATAGTAAATAAACGTGTCTCTTCAATCCACTGATTAGCATATAAATAAAAAGTAAAAAAATACTCTAGTTGTGTTTTTTTTTTATTTACCAAATCAAAGTAAAACCGGCTTTCATATCTGGTCATCCCATTTGATTTATGTCAGCTTCGGTTTATTATTGTATCCACTATCCAATGATTGACCGCATGAATGAGACCAAAAGGTTCAAACCATGACGTGGATATGACGTGGGTAATTATAATAAACATGAGATGTTGTTTTTGTTTTTAAATATGAGAAGGTTGACTTTAGCTGTGCTACTTTTTAATTTGCAATTTGATCAAATCACTGAATTTCAATTTAACCGCGTAAAATCTAGGGAATTTAGCCAATACCCTCAGATAACCTACCTGACAATTAAAAATCTGGAAAGATTACTTGATAATTAGTTTTTTAGGAGAGAGAATTTACTGTTCATATCCAAAATATCCTTCAACTTTAACTTATTTACATGCAATGCCATTGACCCAAAAACAGTTTTCTGATGCTATTTATCGGAAGCACTGTTGATCAATTACACGATAACACTGTTTATCAATAAACCGATTACGCTATTCATCACCTGAAAACCCAAAACAGTGTATGATTTTAATGGATAACTAATTTATTAACGTGCTAACTAATATAGTATTGAGATAATTATTCGATTACCATAATAACAATATTATTGTCATGATAATGTTACACATGCTAACATTATTAACAATAATATTAATAATAACATTGTGATTATCATGATAATATTGTGATTACCATGCTAACTAATATTCAGTTAGTTATCATATTGTAAACTTATAGTGTTAACTCTATTATTGTGATAATAATCGTGCTAACTTGTTAAAATTTCATTTAAAATATGAGTTATTCAATAACAAATTTTGTTAATTTTGTTAACATACAAGTTACCCTATAATATATTACCAAAATTATCGCTAACGTCATAATTACCTATTTACCGGTGTTATCGTCATCATCTTCACCATCATCACCATCACTTTCGGGAAGAAAAAAGGTAAAGCCCAAATCTGAGAGGAGATGTGCTGTTGGTAAGAAACGATAGCGCCACCATCACCGCTACAGTCACCGTCATCAATCACCACCACCACCGTCATCAATCGCCACCATCACCGCCACCACCGCCGCCACCGCCAATATCATCAATCTCCATCATCACCACCACCACCATTATCAATCATCACCATCATCACCACCCGCCGCCGTCATCAATCGTCACCGCTACCATCATCAATCCACTATTATCACCACCGTCATCACATTTTTTTTTTCTCCGATGAAGCAATCCATTTCACGGTAGAATAGAAAGAGAAAAAGAAAATGATAAAGGAGGATTAAATGGTAATCACATTCTAAATAGTATGTGTCAGATTTCTCACTTTATTGTCACTTAATTTCACTATTATCTAAGGCTATACATTATAATTACCCTAAAATCTAAAAACAATAATCAAGGACGTTCCCTAATGAAAATTTAACTTACTTTTGAAGTTTGTAAAAGAATCGTATATTTTAATCATTTAAAATGTTTATAATTGGTTAACTATGACTATTTTTTTGTGAGAAATAATAAGTCTTCATATTTTTATTTACATGATAAATCACGACCACTAGGTGCTACCGTAGTATAAGTAATAAGTTACGTTATCCCGTTTTACGAAAGCAAACAGTAATCATAGTGGTTGTTAACTGTTAATATAACGGTACTGAAATTATACGAACCATACTTTTTGTTAAAATTATACTCCACAAACCATACTTTTCAAAACAGGTACGTCCAAACACGACCGATGAATTAAAAACTACCTTTGTCTCAATATTAAAACTAGTCAGTTTCTTGGAGCCTAGTCCATGATAGTTGTTGTACATCTGTACAAGCTGGCTGTCTTTTGTCCACAATGCTTCTTAAGTCTTTCTTTAATATTTTTATTGTTTAAAGTAGTGTGTTTCTGTAAACTACAAAAGAATTTGAACATCAGAATCTTTATAGTCAAAGCCAAATGAAAGAAGAAGACGAGTACCGGTAATATTTATGACTTTTTTAGTTCGGCTTAATACGTAAGAAATAGGAACTCTATAATTGATGATTTATATAGATCACCTACCACACATACTCGTATAAATATAGTTATCAAAACTAGATATTTGATATATTTATCTGAAAATTATTTTCCATATATCTTATTACATAAAATTGAATTTATTTCATAACAATTCAGAATATATGGTTCATTTTTTTTTTTTTTGACAACTCGGAATATATGGTTCAATAAATAAAATAAAATATTCGGTGTATATCAGAAGTTCAAAACTATAATCAACGCTAGCTTGCGGCAGATGGAGAAAAGGCCAAGTGATAGAGACACAGAGTACGGTTCGCGAGGCTATGGGAAGCAAATCTAAAAACAGTGACCACAGTGTAGGAACATATTGGATAGAGAGTACAGTATTGACAGAGACTACACAGGCTACTTATACATTCTCTATAACTCGTCCATATTTTTTTTTTTGGTAAAATGTTAAATAACTCGTCCATAGTTTGTTTTCTCAAGTAAGCTTTAGTATTCTAAACCCCCAATAATTCAATTAGTTATTGTAGTCAATTTGTATTCTTGTTTTTTTTTTATTACAAATATCTCATGATATGGCAAAGGCAAAGAACCGTGTGTTTAGATTTTTGACTAATTCTAGTAAATTTGTTGGACAACAAATTAAACATATATGCCAAAACTTCAGTCACATAAGTGAATAAAGTGGACCCTCTGTCTTCGTTTCCCACATGAAATATGTAATCATCCGCCCTAATGACGGAATCTTGTGTATTTTCTTTTATTTTCAAGAATACTAGCTAGCTGTTGACAAAAACAAAAACTAATACAGTACCAGATTATAACTAGAGTTGAAACTTATAACTAAATAAGATCAGAGTTAACCAAGTTGTCATAAATCAGTCTAAACACTTGATTGGGTAAAGATGAAATAAAATATAAAAATTGTTGAAATGTGAACGAATTATCTCAATAAAAAATACATCAACGAGTATCCAAACAATTGATTGAATAAAAATAACAGCTAATTTAAATTAGCGAGTGTAAAACTGGGCCTACATTAGCACTAACTCACAGCCCACACGATTCTCTCATAGATTTACAATTTAAAGAAAAGTTTAAAAACTAGTATTAAGCAAATAAATTAGTTTATGAGTCACTCTCTCACACATGTCTCTATCTATACCACAGCCAAAGTCACTAGCTAATATTTTTTCCTTTTTTCCCCCTTTGTATAGATTCCGACATCGCACTCTCTCTCTCTCCCGATGCTTCCACTATATAAGAAGATGGTAGAGCGAAGCTAGAGATGAAGAGTAGAGTAATCCTAAGCCATAGAGAGAGAAAAGATAACAATAAAGGCATCTTCTGTAGTTATACGCAGCTTGAGACCATGGAGAGAAAGCCCTTTGAGGTTGACACGACGACCGATGATCACAAACCTTACTCCGCCGTCGATGGCCGTGGTGCTGATGTTACATCGAATGTCGATTCGTTCGAGGAGGACCAAGAAAAACTCGTTTACAGAGGATGGAAAGTCATGCCTTTCATCATTGGTAACTACCTTTCTTTTTTTCTCTGCAGACATTTTTTTTTCATGTGTTTTTTAGTTTATTTTTCTCTGCTTTGTCAGATTTTAGTGACGGCCCAAAAACAAAAATATGAGAATATGAAATAGACATTTTGTCCGTGATAATTTTTAATTTCTTTTCTTCTCTTTGACTTGACTGTGTTGAAAATCTTGAATTGGAGTTTTTGCTTTGAGATTATAAAATGAAATTATTTAAAAAAACCGAAGTTTTGATAATAAGTCTGACACTCAGATCTGCCAAGTCCAATGAGATTTCTTTGCACTTTTTTTTGTTCTCTAGGTAATCTAGAAATCTGTTTATGAAATGTTTTTTTTTACATTATTTTTCTTAAAATGTTTTAGTTTTTGGAAAAAGACCTTTGAAACATGCAGTTAATTTTTTTGAACAAAGTGGATAAGATTTAAGGGTTTTGTACGCTTGAAGACAAAATTAGTTTCTGTGAGCTACAGCAGTTATTATAGGTGAATAAAGTTTCAGGTGAATTGTGAACCAATGAATAAAAAAGTTTCAGTTCAAAA